ACAGCCTGGCTTACTCTTTCTTTTTCAGAGGTACAATTTTGATTGACAACATCTATGTATTCTGCTTGTAATGTACGCAGAAGTTTCTAAACTTTATAAAGATTCCAGCTTTTTTGTATTTACTTTCAGATTTTCCAAGATTGTGGTAAGGATCTGTAGTTAGTTTTGGAATTCTAATGGGTGTTTTTTATTTTGTGCGTGTGTGAGCAGGGGATTGATTTTTGGTGAGGCTTCTGGAGAGAAGCAGCAGTAGTTAACACTCTGGCCAACACTCCAGTGAAGGGCTCAACCCCTTGTGAATGGGATAGGGTTGAGGCTAGGAGGAGGATATTTATTGGAGTTTCACTTTTAACTTACCTTTCTTCATCTCCATATTTGTCAAATTGGGCTCTTTCATTGCTTTGGCGTTTGCCTATTGATTACGGCTAATTTGACATCTTTTTGAGATTTTTTGCTTGTTTGTTTGATATGTGAATTGGGAAGTTTCAAAGATCAAAACTTTTTTTTTGCGTGTGTGTGGGGTTGAGAGGAGGAGCTAAGAGATTGAAGGAAAGGATTTGATTTGTAGCAGTGAAAGATATGGCAATTTGCAATTGCTTTTCTGGTCCAGTAGGGAGGAGAAGCAAGAAAGATAAGGTGTGTGTTTCAATTTTCAATACAGCCCTGCCTTCCTTTAATTTGAACATGCATGTCAAAGTTTAGTAAGTTTTGAGCTTATTCTGTATGTTTTCTTGATTTAGGGGGAGAAGGGAGCTAAAAAAACTGCTGATGTGGTTGTAGTGGTTGAAGGTTCTGTAAACTCTAGTACGAAAACAGATGACTCGAAATCGTCTTCCTTTGTTGTTCCTTTATCTTTTGGGAGTTCTAGGAGCAATGTTAAGGTGATGAATCATGACAGTCCTGTTAAGGGAGATACAAAAGAGGTGGCTAATCATGACAGTCCTATTAGGGGAGATACAAAAGAGGTGGCTAATCATGACAGTCCTGTTAGGGGAGATACAGAAGAGGTGGCTAATCATGGAAGTCCTGTCAAGGGAGATGTAGAAGAGGTGGCTTATGAAGGGGAAGATGAGCATGATGAAAGCTTGTCAATGAAAAGGGATAACTCTGATTTCGATCTTCAAGCACGCGGTCGTAGCTCAGGGGGAGAATATGATCAATCATTCGATGAAGGGATTCGTCGTAATTGTTCATTTGGAAGTGAAATGAATGAACAGGATCATAACAAATCTGAGAAAGATGCAGAGGTTGTGAAAAGTGGACACATCAGTGATCCGGGGTTTGGTAAAGTAGAATCTTGGGCTTCTCCGAAGCTGCAACGCTCTTGCTCCGATTTAGCAATGAGGGATATGGTGAATAAATTGAGTGAGCAGCTATCACTCTCAAAGACCAAATCTTTTGATGAAATGCGGAGACTAGCTGAGAAGATGACTTTAGGAAGTCCAGCTTCTGTGTTAACGCATCGCAGTGCTGACAAAGTTATGTTGAAGAAACATTCTTCAAGCCAACTCCTACCATCCAGAAATAGAAAATTGTGGTGGAAACTGTTCCTATGGAGCCATAGGAACGTGCAAGGAACAGGTGGTATCCAACAACTACCAATCCTTGCTAAGACTGCTCTAAACCAGCAGGGTGGGTACTCCTCGGACACACTAGAACTAGGGAAAGCCATGGACTCGAGCAACTTGGGATCTCCTGGTTCGTTCATTGCAGAATCCTTGAACAAAGGGCGGAATGACAAGGGCAAGGAGGTTTTGGATGGATTCCGAGGAGTAAGCGGATTTTGGCCACAGAACCAGTGGGTTGCTTTCCCTGAAGAATCCTCTAGGTTTATGAGAATCAATGAATGGGTGAATGAACTTCCCAGTCATCCACCATGCTTAATTGATGAACATGATCATGTTGAAGATGAGGTTGATATCTCGCCTTCGCCCGATGCTGGTAAATCACCTCTCATTAGCCCATACCCAAATATGAATGTCCCAGAAGAGGTTGCACATGCTAATACAGTCATCCGATCTCTTAATTCTTCCTCAACGGTTGCTCACATCGCGAGCGCTGGTCTGAAAGTTATCCCTGCTATATCACACTTATGTAGCCTTCGATCTGTCAATCTATCAGGCAACTTTATAGGTATGTAAACAAAGGACAACTTGTACTAGACTAATTTAGACTAAAGGAAATGGTCATAGAGCCCCATTAACATAATTTATGTTTCCTTGGACAATGCAGTTCAAATAACTCCGGGATCACTACCAAAGGGTCTTCATGTTCTCAATTTATCAAGGAACAAGATCCACACAATTGAAGGACTGAGGGAATTGACACGTCTGCGCTTGCTTGACCTAAGTTACAACAGAATCTCTCGAATTGGACAAGGTATGTGGCTTCCTTAGACCTTCCACTAAAGATAAACTATATCGTCTAGTGACTCACAAATATCCGAGTTTTATATCCTTAAACAACCTCCTGAATATGTGAATTTGTCTTCAAATTGCATCAGGTTTGTCGAATTGTACTCTCATCAAAGAGCTCTACCTCGCTGGTAACAAAATAAGTGATATTGAAGGGCTGCACAGACTTCTAAAGCTGACTGTTCTAGACTTGAGTTTCAACAAGATAACAACTACTAAAGCGCTTGGTCAGCTTGTGGCAAACTACAATTCTCTTCTGGCTCTAAATCTATTGGGAAATCCAATTCAGATCAATATAAGTGATGACCAACTGCGAAAGGCAGCTTGCAGCCTGCTCCCAAAACTTGCCTACCTGAACAAGCAGCCAATTAATTCCCAAAAGGCACGGGATGTAGGAACAGAAGCTGTTGCAAAAGCAGCACTGGGCAGTAGCACTCGGGGCACTCATAGAAGAGCAACCAGGAAGGTAAGCACTGGATCTTCTTCATCTGCAAGCGTGCATAGGAGCAGCGCAGGTGTTTCTCAAAAGAGCAGGCATAGGCTAAGAAGCCGAACTCAACTTTAGTCTTCCACGGCCTTGATCTATCTGCTAGGGAGTGGTTTAGGCGTTCATGTTAAAAGTTGTGGAGGTTCTTCCTCATTCTGTAAAATCTGTTTGAGAGCAAGGTAGTTATGGCTTTCTATGATTGTTCAAATTTGGCATGTTTATTGATTTGGACCTTAATAAATGAATTCCTATTCTGCTTCTGATTGATATTGAATTTTGTGTTAGATCTTTTTGGTTTTCTATGAAGTAATACAACTATCAGTAACCTGCTTTTTTCACTCATTCGCATGTAAAGTACACTTCTGGGGAGTATCTTGCTGATAGATTGTGAGGAAAGCAATAATATCTATGTTAGAAATGCATCATAGACATAAGCTGTCCAAAGCTGTGATGTTTTGCTCCTTAGGGGATTGGTTGTAATTGAAAATGTGAAGTTAAAGTTTTTGATTAATCCATTCCAATTTCTTTTTTCAGTTTAACCTCGAATTGCTCGCTTCATTCTTAGAGCTCAAGTACAAAAAATCTTCAGCACAAGACAAGTCAAGAAGGTCTCTATAACAAGTACAACATTTTTTTTTCTGTAGGATAACAAGGTCCAATGATGAATTTAACAATTCAGGAGCCCCTGACTACAAGGACCCATAAGGTCGCTATAACATTCTTTTTTGACACGATAACAAGGTCCAACGATGACGAGGCTTAGACGGCCCCTGACCCCTTCTTATATTGGGGGACTTTGCTCCCAGTAGTAAGCTGGCCAGCTAATAGAAAACACTATATACCAAAACAGTAGTAAATTTGAGGTTTAGCAGCTGAAGTTCAATTATTAAGGGAGAGACAATCATTTATTTTATGATGAAAAAGGGGAAAAAAGAAGAATCTTTGACTTAAAGAGGAAGAGACAATCCAAAAGATGCATTGTAAAAGAGGCGTAAATAACGTCAAAATCTCAAGGGTCGATATTTTATTTTTATGTTAGAGCCACAGAAGCAATGATTCTTGGAGTCATTAAATTTCCAACTTTTTGTGGACTGTTTGTTTCAACGATAACCACTAAAAAGAAGACGTACTACTGTATTAGATTGGAAAGTATAACAACTTCTTGACAAAATTGACAACTCATTAGTCATATGGAAATCATCACCAGACTGATAAATCATATGCTTTAATCTTTAAAGATGTGTTTTGTTTAAGACCACACCATCTGTTTTTAGAATATTTAAGAGAGCTAAGCAGTAGTGTTAATTCTGTCTATTTTTGGGCTATCCTTTTCCACTGAAAGAACAAATTAAACAAAAAATACCCACTAATTTTGACAGGTGAAATAACCAGAATCTTTATTTAACACATATCGGCTATCGCCATTTCCTTGAGCTTGGACCAATTGATTTTGTAGTCCTTCACAAATCCGTATTTAGTTTTACACATAAGAAATCTGAAAATAACAGACGAGATCCGGAAAAATCAAGTCTTTTAGTATTCAAATTGACATGGAAGACTGTTTCCTCAAGCTTAAGCTTTGGCTTTATAGCAATAACAAGGGCACTGAATTCCCAATAGTTGGTTGTCGTTGATTGATGTATATCTTTGTAAAAAAAAAAAGTGAAATTATTACTTAGATGTTATGTTGTTAGGACTCTACGCAAGTGTTGCTATCGGATCTCCAAGAATCTAACAATTTTGGAGAATTTGACACGACCCCATCGACATTTTTGAAAAGCCTGAGTAGCATAGGTTAGATGTGTAGATAATTTAAGAAGAGGGATATGATAAATTGATTGAACCACCATAATACAAAGACAAAAGAGGTCAATCCTAGGTTTGTCATCGAAGGTTAGGAAGGCCTAATAAAGGACAGTTTTATTTTCTTTGATACATCTTATTTTCTGTCTCTTCAAATAATGGTAGTGCCAAAACCAACTAGTGCACAAAGTTCACAAAATATGCATATCATACAGTTTTATTTTCTACTCATGGAAGTCATGGTTAAACTAAGGCTTAATACACAGCCAGCTCCTTAAACTTGAAGAATTATTTCATTTAGACGCCCAAACTAAGTCTTGTTTCGATTAAATCAAACTTCTCAAATAATAGTAGGATACTCAATATTATCTTACATTGTGAATGCAGTAGTGCTCTACATTTCGAAGATGACAAGAGTACAGGCATGATAAAAATTTACAGCTGAAAACAATAGGCAGCAGGAAAATGGTAAATGAGTGTTTGAAACAACTCTAGGTACCTCAAGACTTGTGTTGCTTTGATATATAATATAGGTGGATGAGGTCCACCATAATTCTTCTTCTGCATTCTTCGAGTAAATTCTGCTCTACGACGCTCCATCATCACCATAAGTTACACTAGACGTTAAAGCTAATTCAACCTTTCATGTTTCATAGGCATCACTGCTTGGCTTCACTACTTTCATGTCTGCATATCTATGAAGTTTCTCATTGAACAGCACCTGCGGATCCTTATTTAGCAAAACCCCGTCTTCTCCATAAGCATCCTTAAGAAACACAGACCAATTCATTTCTGTACCAGCCAAGTAAAATGTCCGAGGCTGTTTCAAGAGCATCTGATAAGTATGCTTCGTAAGACAAAACTCCTCCTTGAACTCCACAATGTTGTGTATATAAGCTCTCTTTTCCAATGTCAAGCTCAAGAACTCATGAATCAATCCCACCCTAAACTTCTCCGCCTCCACCGTCCACAAATCCAGCTTACTCCCATCAGAATAAGGCGAAACCAATGGCAACGTATACAACAAATTCAACTTCCTCTCATCACCTTCATCCAAATCCAATGCCTTCCCATGTTTTATCGGAAACTTAAACGCCTTCTTCACCTTATCCTCATCAACCATATACTCCTTCTCCAATGCGCTCACCGCCAATGTAGGATCCCAATTCACAAGCTCAATTACCCTTTTCCCATCTTCCTCAACAACCACCTTAAAATAATCCTCATACTTTCTTATCCTATCCCTGAAATCTTCAGGTATACCAAATAAAAGCCTATTATGATAAATTTTACTCAAAGCAATTCTCTTATCTTTCGACATCATTAACAATTTCCTAACTACACTAACCCTATCACTTTCCATTTCATTCATAACTTTACCCTCCTCATCCAACAATTGTTCCATCAAATCAGTAAACCCAATCCACATCTTACCATCATCATGCCGATAAATTTCGAAAATTGAAGGGTGTCGTTGGAGGGATCGGACAACTTTCCGGCCACGAGGGAACCCCAGCTGCTGGTGGAGTTTTCCGGCATCGTCAAGGGGAAGTACATGATGGGGTTGTTTGGAGAGGAATTCTTTAGTTTTAGTAAGAAATCTGAAATGGGTATCACGAAAAAGAATGTTTTCGAAATGGGGATTGATATTTGGTTGAGTTTGAACCAATTTGGTACGTGGGGATTCCTTTTTCTTTCGCTTCTTGCGGAATTTCTTTGGGATTTTTGTGACGAGGAAGGAAGTGGAAAATTGTCTGAAGTGGGCAGTGAATTGAGAGAAAGTTGAGTTAGGGTTTAAGGAGAAATGTTGTGAAGGTTTTGAATTTGAAGAAATGGCGGTGGATTTGGTCCAAAAGAGACGCCAAACTGTCATTTTTTGTATCGTTTAGTTTGTGATTTTTCTGGTTTTTGAGGTGTAGGGTTTAAGAATGCCAAAAAGGGAGAAAAATGAAGAAGAAAGAGATGACTGTTAAGAAAAACTCCGACCTGCCGGATTCGAACCAGCGACCTAAGGATTGCTATGAAGCACACTACAGTCCTCCGCTCTACCAACTGAGCTAAGGTCGGTTCTTATTTCACAGTGGAGGCATTAGTAATTTATTACAAAACATTATTTAAAAATGATTTGTATATAGTCTAGACAAATACCATGAGGCAGAGTAAAACCAAAGTATATCCCATTACTAAGACGATGTCCGGTTGATCATTTCAGTATATAATCTAGACAACTACTATGAGACAGACTAAAAGTTAAGGTATGGAGATGGTGGGAATAGCCGAATAGGGGATATAGAATAAGAGGTCGGAGGTGTGTTGGAAGATGAATATACAATTAGTCTAGAACGTTCTTTGTTTTCTAGTCATTTTTAAGAAACTTATTTTGTTGAAAAGAATATTTTTCGTAAAAATATGAGAAAATTGAAAAACATTTTACCAAAGGTTAAAACAATTGGTCGAAAATGAAGTGGAATCAATTGCCAGATTATGAAGAATGAAGTATCAAAAAAGAGTCAAAAGCCAAAGCAATTGAGATAAGATACAGCAGCTAGGATTGCTGTTATTCTATAATACCTTCACAATTTCAATCAACATATTGTTTTTGCTTGTATAGTTATAAAATGAGACATCACAAGGAAAAAACTATAGCCCCTAAAACAATTCCCATTTGCAACTGTGCCTCAAATGTGTAATTACATGGCCCTATGTAAGCCTTACGGCTACATAGGAGTTGTGGTTTTGGTCCCTTTGCAGAACCATTCTGTTGTCTTCTCTTCTTGTGCTCTCTCTTGCTTTTCTGACTGTCCAAAAAATTTCGTTTTCGTTACCGCCATTTCTGTGTGAAATTTTTGCTGTTTAATAATTAATATGATCCAACAAACAAATGACTATTATCATCTACAAATCTTGAGATCCTTGCCAATTTTTAGCTAGCTTGTCTTCTTGAAAATGGTTTCTGGCAAATTAGTAGCTTCTCATCACTGCTTTCTACCTCTATAACTCTCGCGTCCCATTTCAACCGTGCTGCATGAGATCTTGCTAATTCAATAAGAGGGACAGTGTCGCGTAAAATCACCCAGCCCTGCAGCATGCAGATAACGGTTAACAAAAGAGACGAAGAAAAAGAAGTTGCGTTACTCAGCATTCAGGTACATTAAAAACAGCTGAAAGTGGGTCTACGTGTTTTGGCATACAAGATCAAAGGGTAAATGGTGGCATGTTGAGGTAGAAACGATAAGACATGCCATAAGTACGTATAGTATTCAGGTTGCAAAGAGCGAATATAAACACCATTATAACTTGTACGAACTAATTCAAAGTGGGAATCCTGTGCTCTTGAGTGGGAGGAAGAAAAGGATGCTTATAACAAAGGACGAGAAGGAAAAAGGAGGAGAAACTAGTGATAGAAAAGGATGAACTAAGACGAAGAGCTATTGGAGGGGGCATTATATGCTGCATCATTACACCACTATGTTCTGTACTTATGGAGCCCACTTCAATGCCTCTCTAGCTAAGAAAAAAGACTTCTCAGTATACCCACTAATGGGAGTGGAAAACAGGAGAAGCTGAATCACACAACTCCTTTTGCGACCAAAATCCCACCAAGACTTTAAAGACCTGCCTCTGATTCCCAGAACAACATTTTGGTTGCTGGTAAAAAAGAAGTGGATGAATCATGATAGAGTTTTTATAGTTCTAGTCTTATTGCACCATTATATACATTAGAGCTTGAAAATTCACTACTTGTTGACTATCAAGAACTCCATCTAACTGCCGCATAGTTACAAAATGAGAAGTGTAGCAACAAATATACATACCTCCGGACGAAGAACACGATCCATCTCAATAAACAGGTCAAACATCGGGCATCTGATATGTTGGCCGAATTCCATTGACAGAAGTCCATTAGCATGTACCAGATCATAAGTTCTTGGATATGTTGGAAATGCCTCACACCTGCAAAGGAAATAGAAAGCAAAATTAGTCACAGAATCCACCTAAAAGAAATTAAATAAACAAATAAAACGAAGTTGTTTTGATAAAGTTTATGAATCAAGATGAACTGCTTTTATGTGACTTGCAATCAACCTTTTTTCTTTAAGTCAACATTTTCATTACTGAAAACAAGTCGATGTTGAAAGCATTTAGAAGTTGGTCCAAGTGTACTAACACGAGTCATCTACAAGCATGTATGATTCTTGCCAACTATCAATACAATACAGTATTCTCTTAACACCAGAAATACAATTGATCAAGCACAAACCAGTGCCCAAAAGTTCCTTCGAGTGGATAAAATGAAGATCCCAGAAAGTCAATAGAAGTGCTAGAGTTTAGATTGGCAAACATGTTACTCAGTTATCAGTACTTTGCTCCTTATTTATGATATACATGCTCCCTCTTCATCTCAATCACAAAAAATGAGTTACTAGTGAGCATAAACGTCTCCAGCTTTTAAGTGTTAAAATCCAAAGCTAAAAAATTTATTTCATGTAAATAAGGGCAAAGAAATTCTGCGGAAAGATGCTGTCTTGGTGAAGGAAATCTAGTCACTGAACCTAGTTACAACTTACAATCATATAGATCGTGGAACCAATGAGCAATTATGGATCTAGAACACAATATATGGGTTCACGGAAACACAATAGCTTTTGCACAAAACCATGGATATATATTAAGAAATCCACTAAATATTTATAAATATTTGACTGTGAACTCAATTTTATCGTATATTAATTTGAGATCATTATAAGAACCCATAAACTTCAAATTTTGTATCCACATCTGCCAACAGGTTGTGAAAAGTGAAAAGTGTTGTTCAACCAAATAATATGACTTGTGAGGTATGACAATTATTAGAAGATTTATGCATCTAGCGTTCTTTATCATGTAAACTAGAAAATGTTGCATGTTTTAAGACTTTATACTTATCCAGTGGATTCCTTCACTAGAGAAAGAGAAGAGAAATTACCAATCATGCAAAACACCAACGAATCCCCTGTCGAGAATTAGGGGAAGATAGTTAGGCCCACTAGTGGGGATAACATTCATGACCCACACTGACTTTCTAGCATCCAGTAGAGCAGCATTCAAACCACCAAAATGGGCATTCATGTCCAGCACATTTCTAAGCATATTATAGGGAGGAGAAGGATCATCATCACCAGGTCTCTTCGGGTGATCGGAAAATATTAAAGGTGAAAGAAGTGACCAATAATTGTTAACTGCTGAATTCCAGTTAAGGGAATCCTCAGCAAGAGCTTCAGATAACAAACCTAATAAAACACAGAGCACTATCATTAGATGTTCAGAGGAAACTAAATAACATCATGTAACAAAGTGTTCCACATTTAAAACTTTTGAAATGAGGATGCCCCATTACCATGAATCTTAAGTTCGCTGGAGTTTAATTTGGCCCTAGAAGGCCACTTTGTCCTTTCTTCAATAGGAATCCATCGGCGGCTTTGGGTTCCAGCAATGCATGCTTGTAGAGGTCGATAATACGGGGATTCAATGTCCTGTCCTTTACTGCAGATGGAAGGCCCAACACCTGGTCTCCTGTAAATAGAGGCAACTCTTTATAGTCACACAATCATTGCTTACATGCCACTTGATCAAAGATATAACCTATTAAGGGTCGGGAAATAAAAATTGAAATGATGATAAGTGCACATGGTCTGCACACCTTGCAAAATAACATTTCTTTAAACTTGTCTTTTTCCATACAGCAGTTTCATCTTGTTGGGCTAACAGCTTCCAGCACATACTTTCAGCAAAATTCTGGACAAAGTTCCATTTTTTGAGGCTCACTTTGTTGCGGACGGAGCGCTGAGTATTCGTAATAGTTGAAGTCCAGACAAAATATCCACCAGGCCTTAACAATCGGTCGACTTCAACAAGAAAAATACCATCTGCACCACAATTCAGATATTATTATGGCCTCAATAAATGATAGTATACAAGATTTAACATGTACGTTAGTTATACAAAGCAGAATCACAATAGTGTTGAACTTACGGAAAGCATCCCAATAGGAAGAAACTATGGAGCTAATAACTACTAAAGTGCTAGTTATTAGCTGATCCTAATAGGAAAGAGAAGTGTTGCATCCAAGGGCCAAGGATATGGAGCATGGTCAATGAAGTGGGAGGAGAACCATGAGCTCTTGGGTTCAAATCAAAGCAGAGGCAATAAAAACACACTAGGTGATTTCAATTCTTACCATCAAGTAATAGTTATTAGCAGTTCCAAAGAGGGAAGAGAGTTGCACCCAAGGGCCAAGGATATGGACTGGTGGTCAATGAAGTGGGAGAAGAACCATGAGGTTTTGGGTTAAAATAAAAGTGGAGGCAAAAGAAAACACTAGGTAATTTCAATTCTTACCATCGATCTAAGCTTTGGTTGGCAGACTTAGCTGAGACCTGTGCTGGTAGGTCACAGGTATACAGTACAACAGTAGAGGTGTGACAAGTTGACCAGGACATCAGACATAAAAAAAATAAAAAATTTAAAGGTTGCACCAACTTCCCTCCCCTGAGATTTGTTAGTCTTCAGTGAATAGTGATCTAACATTTGAAAGAACCCGTATAAACTCAGTTCTTCCTGAACGTTTGTTACAAATGGAAGTATGAGAAACATACTGGACATCAAGATTACTTGTTATATGCTGATGTCTATGAACTTATGTCAGATCCCTTTTCTTCAGGATACAAGCAGAGGGAATGGCCTTGGAACTGCATCACAACTGATTTAAATCATTCAAGTATAGGAGCACAGTCATGTTGAGAAAAAAGACTACTTGTCAAGATTTCACTTGTTCCAATTAAAATCCCCTGATGCAACATCTTGTATGTTCCTAATTCCATGCATGAATTATGAAACATCACTTGGTAACTAATTCATATGAAAGTGAGACCTAAACAAGGTTCTACCCAAACTTTAAACTCCACTGTTAAACATTTGCAAGAATATTAACGAAGTACATAATTATGAAGAGTACCTTTCTGATCCCAGTCAACATGACATTCCGCACAATGTATCATATCAAAGGAAAGAGATGGATAAGGCAACTGCTT